GCCTTCGGCTAGCAAGTCAAGGGAGCATCTGCCGGGGGCACGGCTGGAAGGACTCCATGGGGGCCCAGTGGCTGCACCCCGCCAGGTCTGCTTCTCGCCCCCCTTCCTCTGGGCCCCCCCTTCCTCCCCTCCAGCTCTGCTTCCCACCCACCCTTGCTGCCAGCCCCGCTCCCCTTCCCCTCCCTCCATGGCGTGCTCAGCTGGGCCCTGGTGGGGGCACAAGTGGTGGCAAGCAGGGGTTTGGGGTGCACGCTCCCCTTAGAAATGAGTACAGGATTTTTCGAAAAAGCCTGCCATTTTTGAAAGAACCATGTATAGATCGCGGTTTTACTTTTGAAATGGCACTTGTTCGAAAGAGAAGCGTAATGCGATTATGCAAATGAAACACAGGATAGTTAAATCCCTGCTTCATTTGCACTTTCAAATGAGGCATCCCAAAAGAGCTACCCTGCATCTACAGGCCTACAGGCCACCCATTGTTTTGAAAAAATTTTCAAAATAACATTGCATGCTATTTCAGCATCCCTTAACTCTTGGTCCACGAGGATTAAGGGATAGCTCGAAATAGCACATTATTTCAAAATTTGGCACTGTGTAGACATGCCAAATTTCAAATTATTTGAAATCAGATATGCAATTTGCACAGTGCAAATAGCATATGTTATTTCAAGTTTAGGGTGCTTTGTAGATACACCCTAAGATATTACCTCTCCCCCCATGATATATTACCCTTAAATAAGTGGTTGCACCCATGTTTGTTCCTTTCTGTCCCCAATAGTGCCCCAAGACCAGAGCAGTTCTGTCCATTCATGACAGCCCCATGCCACAGTGGGGACTGAGAGCTCTTCCCAGGAGCAAGTGCTCATCCAATCCTGGGGCCACAACGTGGACCTTGTCGCCACTGAGACAAAGCATAAAGTAAGACAAGCCAATAGGAGGCTGCAGGCAGACCCTAATTCTGTTTGAAGGCACTATACCTGCTAATAAGCCAAAGACTTCCTAAGAGACTGACCACATTTTTCTTTGTTTTACTCTAATTCTCCCTCCCTTTGCCTCGCTGCTATGAAAAGTATGACACAACCTGTATCTGCTAGTTCAATTGCCATTTGGTGGTGAAATGTCAGGGACTGTACAGTTGTCCTCTTGCTGGTGAATGCATCATTTGTTAGCCCTGGTCTACGCCAGGGAGTTATTTCAAAACAACAAGCAGAGCGTCCACAATAACACACAACAGGCTGGTTATTTTGAAATCTGTACTCCTGCTTTCCTTGGGGAATAAGCTTACTTCAAAATAGTTATTTTGGGAGTTAATTCTAATGTAGTTATTTCAAAATAAATTTTCTAGTATAGAGGTGCCTTTAAGCATTTCATAGTTAATTTTCAGTCCTATGACTATAAGGGTGTTAACTGACCATTTCATTTTGACTATTTTCCTGCAACATGTTAATGCCTTATGCTTAACAATCCATTCCACCTTTCCTTTAGCTGCGATATTGCAATTACCTTTTCCAGATCTGTAGAAGAGCTTTGTGGAGCTCAAAAGCTTCTTTTTCACCCAAAGAAGTTGGTCTAATCAGACACATTACCTCACCCACATCGTGTGTCTCATAACTTGGGATCAACACAGCTACAACACTGCAAACAATATTCCACGTATAAGCAGACAATAATGGGGGACATCATGTAATGACTACTAATGTATATAGAAACATTGGAACAAATTTTCAAAAGCAGTCAGTAAAGACCTAGTCCAAAAAACCTGCATTGCGTACACATTTGTGGATACAGAAATGTAAGTTGCAAACTGAGTGTTTGCATATGAAAATTTGCCTAATTCAGCCCATTTTCTCTTCCTGATGAACTTCTACCATACATATTGCTATAGAAATTTTAAAATATTTTATATTATATGCTATAGCATTATATGCCTATGTATATGGGCACATGAATATGGACACACACAGATATGTATAATACTAAACAATATTTTAAGACAGGAGTTCCTAGAAATGAGTCCTGGGAGCACTACTTAAATATACTATTGGGAATGGTCCATTATTACTTATCCTGCTCCATTACATTACTTATATGTTTAGCCTCATAGGAACACTCTCTTATTTCAAATCTGGATGTATGAAGATGAAAAATGACTGTCATAGCAACATTTAGATATAATACATGCTAGCAAAGTAAGGTTTATTTAAAAACCACAAAGAGGAAAAAGCACACTAAACTATCTAATAAATATGATATTTGAATAAAGATAACACTATGTTCTTTACTTGGTTTCTCACTCACACTCTTTTTAACACTTCCTACTTTTGTTTGCAAAAATGTTTAATTCCAATAAAAACAAATAACTTTGTCAGAGGCTTTTATTTTAAACCAACAAAACAATGCATGTACAGTTTACAATGAGAACTTAGTTTCAGGCTTTTTAATTATTTCTTAGCCATCGTGGGTGGGATCCACTCTTGTATCTTTTTACGTGTTGTAGAGTAAGGGACATACTGCCCAGCAGTGCCACTCAGATTGAATCTGTGGTTCTCCCAAATGAATTTATGAGCAACAGGTGGATGAGTAGTTGGAGGATCTTCAGTTATACAGTGAAGCCAGCGATGCCTGAAGAGAAAAAAATATATATATAAGCCAGCGATGCCTGAAGAGAAAAAAAAAAATATATACACTGGTTATTAAAAAGTTTTTATATTATTTCCTATAATTAATCCTTTTGCTTAATTGAAAGGGTTTTTCTCTGACGCTTTTTAGTATCTGGCTTTAAAACCTGAGTTCCAAAAATAAAAGCCAGATACTAAAAAGCTATTTCCAAGTACCTTCTATTAGAATTCATTTATCCATCTCTTTTTGCACATCCTTATTTCTTTTAATATAAACTAAAAATAATAAATGTTTGGTAGAAACAGCTAAACAGCATTTAAAAACAGAATTACATCATCTCCCTTTAAACCTCTACCTATGTTGTGATGCCTACAGAACTCTTGATTAAGGAGTTGGGGTGCAGTGTCAGCTGCTTACTCCACAGTCGATAACTGTCTCAGTGTTCCTGGCCTGCCCCCCATCTGAAACCCCACTTTAGATGATAATCGGTTTTGGGTAAAAGCCATCTTTTTGTTCTATGTTTGCACAATGCCTGACACAATGGGACCCTTGCCTCAAGGAAGTCAGTAGAAATAAAAACAAAGTATTTGGAGGAGATTTTACAGAGCTCAAGTATCAAAAGACTATGTACAAACTATGGTATTTGAATAACTGATTACAGTGCCATGTACAAAGCCTTCTTTATTTTTCAAGTACAGCAATAAGAAGTTTTGAGGTAACAGGATAATGATTTGATGTAAACACAACCCATCCACATAAATACTTGACTGCACAATGTGATTAGCATAAAAAAAAGACTACTTACTGTACAGCAGTGGGTCTCTAACCCTTTTGGGCATTCCAAGATCTATCCTACTCATCCCCAAAGACCCGCGCCTTCTCACTCCATTTACCCTCTCTCTCTCTCACTCACTTTCAGTGAACCGGCGGGGGAGGGGGGGCAGGGGTTTGGATGAAGGAGGGTTTGAGGGTACAAGTTCTGAGAGGGAGTTTGGGTGTTGGAGGGGAAACATAAGTGGATAGAGGGTACTGGCTCAGAGAGAGACCAGGGCTGGTGTACGGATGCCAGAAGCGTTGTTCATTGTTGGCTCTAAGAGGACAGTCTGCTCTGGGGCAGTGGGTATGGCGTGCGAGAGGGAGTACATGAAGTGGTACCAGACCATTTGTTGTTTTTTAAATCCTACTGTTTGTATTAATAAACACAAGTGTGTTTATCAGTCTGGCTCCAGTGTAAATAATTGTTACCTGGCGGGGGCCCCAGTTTAATCAATTAGCTGGTTAACTGAGATTGTTCCCCATGTGCTTAGGCCACTGATGCCCACCTTCTTGCACTCTAGGGCTCTCCATCACCCTGTCCTGCAGGGCCAGATCCCCTGTCTCCCTCCAGACAGCACAGAGTTGGGGTTACCATTCCCTTGCAGAGCAATACAGACACTGAACTACTTCTGCTCTGGGTGAACGCAGTTCAAGGGTTCAGCACCCAGGAAATCAATCCCCAAATGAGACGAAACACCTCCCTCTCCCCCCAAAATAAGTCTTTCTTGAGTAAAACTTTTACACAGAGAAAGACTTATTTATCAGGTAAGTTCCTTTTGTTATTGAAAAATATGCACAGCGGTTGTTCCCCCGCCAACAATTATTTACACTGGAGCCAGACTGATAAACACACTTGTGTTTATTAATACAAACAGTAGGATTTAAAAAACAACAAATAGTCTGGTAGCACTTTATAGACTAACAAAACATGTAGATGGTATCAGGGGCTTTCATGGGTACAACCCACTTCTTCAGATGAATGGAGTATTAGAAGTCCAGTTCCAAAATAAATAGGAGATGAGGGAGAGAAGGAAGGGGAAAAAAAATGTGAATTAGAGTGTTCATGTTACATGAAGCCGATAGAGAAGGTACTAATACTAATTGTTCTTAAGCACTCATTGTTTAGTTGGTTAAGTCATTAGGATGTGGAAGGTAGATAAAGATACTAAATACAAAGAAAATGCATGGTATAGGAAGATGAAGGCCTAAAACATAAGCCCATGGTCTGAGGCCTAGCTAACAATGGACAAAACATGGCTAACAAAGCAAAGCTAAGCTGTGAACAAGAGGCAGGCCCCAGCTCACAGAACTTGGCACAAGCAGGGCTGAGAGTGCAAAACACTAATTGGTAATAGGCCCAGGTGCAGAACAATAACTGGTACTGATCATAAGTGGAAAGCACATGACATCACTAGCTCATTAAAAAAAGACGTTGGTACCCACTCCTCACAGATACAGACTCAGGTTCTGGAAAGGGCCTAAAATGACAGCCTGATGGATAGAGATGATCTAATAAACCACGAGGTACAGGGTGATGGGTGATATCTAAGTAGTGTCAGAGGAGGGTAACCAATGATGCCAGCAGTGAGGTGTGACTTGTTGTACCTGTATATGAGGGGGACAGCCTTTGAATGACCTAGGGGGCAGTGGAAATTTCTCACTGAGTCATTCCATTGTGGCAAGTACATATGTGTAGTGGTTCAGTAGAGTCTACTGACAGCTATTACTGTACTTCGCTCTATAACAAACCTGGCCTGGCACCTTTGATCCTTATCTGGTTTGTGGTTTTTGGGGCCTCTCTTGGTGTCTGCTCTGGAGACTAAGTGCACAAGTTGACATGCACACATCACTGAGCACACACACAAGCAGCCTTCTGGTTATCATCAACGGAGCCAGAGACCTGTGAGGACACTCCGGCAGTAAATCCTGATTGGCCCTTCTTGAATAACTACACATGGCTCATTCTAATTCACTAAGAAACTTGTTGCATCCTGATTCTTACCCTAAAGAGCAGTTTTTATTTCAGACGTAATCCTCAAGTCAAAGATGATCTTGTACTCTGACTTGGATCTCCAGCCCTCTAAAGTTCCTTTTAGAATGTGCTAGGCAGTTTTAAAAGGCAGCCAAAGATAAAGGACTGACAGACTCTTCCCCATGCGGGAATCTTCTGTTTGACACCCCTCTTCCCCCTTTCCATGGAAAAACACTGGCTTTAAAATAAATTCAGTACCAGGTGGTATGGTCACAAGTCTTTCTATCACCAACCACTTTATAGACCAGGGATACTTAACATGAGGCCCACGGCCCATTTGTTTGTGGCCTACAGTGTGGTTTGGGTTTACGCGGGGCTCAACACGTGGCCTGTGGGTGGGATTGTTTGAACATGGCCTCCACTGGGAATATGCTCCACAACTGCAAGGTGTCTCCCAGGTGGGGTGAGTACTGAAAGATGCAACTGGACAGGATGGCTGGAACAGACAGGTACAGGGTATTGGTGTCGGGAGCGCCAGGGCATTGTGGGAAATCCTAGCTGTTAAGCCTGAGAAGTGCTGACTAGCTCTCACTGACCACGTTCAGGTCTGGTGCCGCAGCTTAAAGTTTAATCTTTTGTATTCATGCCCATCAGTGTGAAAGGAGCTATTTGCATATATATGCAACCACACTTAAGTTGCAGTCCTCAGCATGTGCTGAGAGTATCACTGTGGCCCCCAGGGCTCCCAACTTCCAGCTGACCCTGGGTAAATGCCGTGTGGAACCTGAGTACAGCTGTATGTGGAGTTCCGCATTCCTCCTTTGAATCCCTCCCCTCCATCTCTATCCCTCCCTTGCTGGGGCTCTTGTACATTTCAAAGGAGGAATGCAGAAGTGCCTAACGACTAGTTGAGTAGTCAGTGGAAATTCCATCAACTACTCGACTAGTCAATTAACCGATATTTAACATTCTTACCTCGCACTCTGCATAGCCAGCAGGAGGGTTGCTCCCAGGAACAGCAGCAAGAGGGAGCAAGTGGAGGAGGTGCATCTATATACACAGGCTGTGTGCGCTCTGCTCATTAGCAAGCCTGCCTTACTGAGAGAGATTGCATTCAAATAAGAGAATCTCCAGGGTCAACCAGTTGATTGATCGGTGGTGACCACTGCTGAACAGTAAGGTATGTTCTTTGCAGTGTGTAGTCTGTATACATAGTCCACTGCTGGTGATCATGTGTGTCCAGAGCACATGCATCAAGAAACTTTCTAGGTAATATACTCACCCCACAGGCACTAGGAGACCATCGTGTTCTCCTGCTCTCAGCAAGAGAATGAAGGCCTGCACCAGAACTCCAGGAGACCTCTGATGAGCCTGTCATTGAGATATGGAAATACCTGGGCACCTGTCCCTCTGAAGTATGCTGCCTCTGCTGCCAGGCATTTCATAAATATTCTGGATGTGGCTAAGAGCCCAAATGGCAAAACTTGGTAATGATAATGATAGTCCTATTGCTAATCTTAGGAAATGTTTGGTGGTCCGGTATAACAACGTGGAAACATGCATCCTGGAGATTGAGGGTAGCATATTAGAGCTTCTGGTTTAGAGATGGGATGATGCATACCAGGGACATCAACTTGAACCTCCCTATTCCTGTCCCCAACATCTTTAAACTTGAACATCTATTTTCATACTTTGTCATAATTGTACTTATTACATTTAGAATTAACAGTCACTCTGGCAATCTTTCTGGTGTGGAATTAATGAAGTTTTGCCAGTCAGCTCTCCACTTGACCTTAATACGAAATGTTTTCTGTTCCAGTTCAAAAAAAAAATCTACAGACTTCTGTCACACTGATAGTAATTAGCAACTTAGCCACTGCTATTTCTCTTCACGCAGCAGTACAAAAAGGATCACACTATGAGAGAGAGGAAAAGCAGCATTTACATAATTGACTTCATCTCCCTGTAGGGCTCTCTCATCTGTGGGGCATGCTTCTCAGCCAAGAGTCTGTCTTTTTGGTCAAACTGATTTTAGGACTTAATTTTAAATATACCAGCTAGATTTTAATGTATCCTATTAAAGATACATTTTTAGCAAAATTAGTTAGGACTTGTCTAAAATGTCAGAAGCTTATTCTTAACTAAAGAGTCCAAATGGAGATAAGAAATTGCTATAGGAATAAATGTTGGCTAGGTTTGACTGGAAAATTCTTTA